GAAAGAAAGAAAGAAAGAAAGAAAGAAAGAAAGAAAGAAAGAAAGAAAATGGGAAAAATGATTAGTCAGACTTTCAAGTGTTCAGATTAACATGCAGTATGAATCTGACTTCATTTTACTTGCTTACAAACTTGTGATTCAGAGGATCCCAACATATCTGTCAGCGGTTAATTGAAAAACTATATGAAACCCACCTTTGTGAAGTTCCAGCGTTGAATGAAGTGCCGAGCTACATCTCGTGCAGCTTTGCCATGGACTACAGAGGCAATGTCGTGCCAGGGCATCCTTGGCATGGTGTAACGATCAATGAAATCTAAAGGGGGAGCAACAGAAAAACAAAATGTCAAGAGCCCAAAGAACCACCAGCTATTCCTGGCTATGCTACCAACATCTGGTTGTTGTTTGTGGGAAATAAAATACCCAATCTCCTAGGCTTTTGCTCTCCGCTAGTGAAGTATCTTATTTGCCAGAAACTTGTTGTCTCTAAACTCTAAACATTCACAAATTCATTGCCCCCCCCCAAATGACTGTCCAGATATGATTCTAACTTGCAGTGATGCTTACCAGCAAAGGGTTTATCCAGTTGGACCCAGTCTTTAAAGACGAAGTTGCAATAATCTTTTCCATGCCAGAATCTAGTTTCACCAAGAAGCTCTCCAACCCCGGTCTTCAAACTGTGAACTGAACCTTTACCTGTTTCAATCAAACACAAAACAGATTCTTGGAACTTGCTACCTCAATAACAGTAACCTCAATTATTCTTATGCAAATATTTAATCTTCTTTAAATTAATACCAGTCATGAAGAAGAGTGCATCCTCAAAGCAGAGCAAGCAGAAGTGGACTACTATTCAATAGATTATTTATTTATTTTTATTTATTTATTTTGTCAAGCAGGCATTTCATAATATATGTAGGTACAAACATGATTATTAATACATGAAATAGATATGAATAAAAGAGAACATTAAGACAGGGAGGGTATGCACGTTGGTGTGCTTATGCACGCCACATATAGACTTCTTAGGAATGGGGTGAGGTCAACAGTAGACAGTCTGAAGTTGAAGTGTTTGGGGTTAGTGGAAGAAACCACAGAGTCAGGTAGAGTATTCCAGGCACTGACCATTCCGTTGCTGAAGTTGTATTTTCTGAAATCATGTTTGGAGCAGTTTACCTTGAGTTTGTATCTATTGTGTGATGGGTAGGACATTGTAATGGATAATTTTATGTACTACGGTTAGGTCAGACCAAAGGTGGCGTAGTTCTAAGTTATCTAAGGCATAGGGTATTCTGTTGCAAGTAGAGGAGTAGAGGACTCTTCTCATGAAATATTTCTGGACTCTCTCGATTGTATTAATATCCGATATGCTGTATGGATTCTAGACAGATGAGCTGTATTCAAGAATTGGTCTAGCAAATGTTTTGTATGTTCTTGTTAGTAGTACAATATTACCAGAGAAAAAATTAGGGGCCTCTCCTCTCCTCCCTTCCCTGCCTCCAACATGTGTTAATGTCCCAGGGCAAACAGCTTTTTACTATTTTCTTTCTTCCATTTTACAATGATCATCAGTAACAGTTAAGTGAAGTGATCACTCTAACAAAGAAGTGTGAATAGGAGTTATGTTCATCTTCCTGCATTCTCTGAAGCATCTTTTAAAATTATTTCAGAAACCTGGCACATCCCTTTTGTATATATCCTGAAGATCAGTGTAGCAATAGTTGGTCTTAGGAATGAGGAGACCCAGTTCCCAATTTCCTAGATTGTAATTTCTAGATTGTAAATCTCATTGATCTGAAGCTATTCAGTCATTCCAGCTTCATCATATGGTCTTTGTGAAGCTAAGAAGAGGAGATATTTTTTTGTTCCCTTGAGTTGGATGTATAGTACCGTATATATAATAACCTAAGTGCTGCCCTACATTTACGTTGCCCAAGTTTTCCCTATTTTGTGGAGAAATTTAATTAATTAATTTTATTTGAATGTTCATCCACCCAACCATGCATTCATTTTTACATTCATCCTGTTGACAGAATTCTTGAGACCTGCCCGGGAAGGATTTTGACCCTGGAATATGGCACAGAAATACAATGAATACGTAAAGAAATCACTCACAGGAATCACTGTCTACACTGCTCACACTATCTGCGCGATGCATAGTATGTCGATGGAGCTGTCTGTAGATGCTGAATCTGGCAAATTTCTTGGGTCTCCCTACTCCTTTCATTCTTGAAACTTCTGGAGCATCGTCACTGCATCCTTGAAGAGGTGTTGTTATTGGAGTCTCCATCTGAGGTTGAACAGTTTCAGCGAAAGACTTAGAGCAGAAAAAGGACAAATACAGTTCAATTTAAGTATATAGTTGTGTATCAGTTTTGGTTGCTAAGAATTGACATCTGATTTGATGGTATGTAATCAATTTTAATCAACATATATCTCTGTCTATTCAGAATATGGTACAGGCCTTTATCCATATCCTATAAATGAGGTTATATCAAACCTGCAGCATCTGTAAAAGCCATAACAACATTAAAATGAGGACGTACATTATAATATACTGCAAATAATGCGATCATGTAATAATATCATGACATCTAAGGTGAATGTAAAAATCATGTCATTTGCTTAAAAGCATGACATACTTATCATCATTTGCTCTCCTTGCCCACAGATGTTTTTGGACCAAATGAATCAAAGCTGCTTCTCACAGAAAATGACTCAGTTATGAAAAAGAGCTCTGCTACTTTCATTCAAAAATTATACAGATCCAGAAGAACTATACTATGTGCTGTTTCTGACAAGTGTTTTCTGAAAACACAATATGCTGTTTCTGAGAAGATTAAAGGGAACTCATGAAGTGAACTTTAAAAGAAACAGAAGTAAGTCTCCAGGACAATTTTTTGGCATGGATATTGCAAAACTAGTTTGGTTCCATGGGTTTATATTCAATATATATTTCTCACTGCATGTTATCAAAAACAAATATTACAGGAAACACTTATGCAGTCATTCAAATCACACACTTCATCTGACTTCAACAGATGAAGTCTGGATTCTGGGCCACAAATCAGAGTGTCTGAACATGTCTAACAGTTGTAACCCCTAATAAGAACATTTCTTGTAACCTAGAAACAGCTCCAACTAGCTCACAACCCCATTAGGTCCATCAAGTGATGCTGATGTATGGACAGATGGCTTCATGCAGGTGTGTCCACCACTGCAAGGAAAAAAGAAATTGGCATTCTCCAATTCTGGTGAGATCGCAACTCCTACACTTCTTAATCTAACTTTGTCTAAGCAGCTGGTACTATAAGAAATATAACAGCTAATGTGACCTGAAATAAGCCATCTGGACTGAGAACTTGGATGCTAGGGTTGATAGGATTGATGCTAGGATGTCAAACCACATAGTAGGGCTGCATTATCCTCCTCATCTTTGCTATTGCCTATTCCTTTAGCATCTTATGGCCATTACTTTCTTATTTGTGCCTTATGTTGATTACTTTTATTTAGTATCCTATGACTATCACTGAGAGTTGTACCTTATGATTTATGATGTTTGTATTTTATGGTTATGGTCATGATTTATCATTTGTTGCTTGTATGTACACCGAGAGCTTATGCACCAGACTCAAATTTCTTGAGTGTCCTATCATACTTGGCCATAAAGAATTCTAATTCTTAAAAAAAGAAAAAATACCTGGAGTATCCCAACTGACCCTGCAAAAGATATTCAGATAGAAACTGAAGGTAGATAGATGTGCAGTAGTTTCTACTGCACCACAGGGTGTCTGTAATCTGCATTAAACGGGCTTGTTAGCAGAGAAAACAGAGTGCAGGTTAAAAGGCACCAGAAATTGGATGCAGGATATCTTGTTTGATAGATGCAGCCCTTTATAAAATGATTTCCCAGGAGTTAAGCCTGCCAGAAATCTTAAAGCAATTGCCAGGCACCTCCACTGACCCGAGCAGCTGTCTAAATGTCAATCTGAAACAAGGTAGGAGAATTACTTTCTCAATTTCTTGTTGGTTTTCAGAAAGTCACAATTTAAAAGGAAGGGAAACTGACCTATAACAGATCTGTATGTATTTATTTTACACAGACACAACATTGAGTTCAGAGGATTCGGAGATCAGTAAACTGCAAGATACCTGCATGGATGGGAATCTTAATAAATTAATTTTAGAATCTCTTTAAGGAAAAAACACAAGCTTTCACAAGGTAAGCAAAATACAAACTGACTGTGGAAAACAAAAAACAAAATCAAAGTCAGATAGACATCATCCGATATTCCTTTGTGACATCTTATCAGTTTAAATCAAAGCAGGAAAGGATCAGAAACAGAAAGATGTTAAGAGTCATAATTTTCTTGCTGTTTCTTAAACCAACAGTTCTCTAGAACCTAACAGAAAGGTTACAAAAGACAACTCTGCAGATATTTGAGGTATTTGTGAATATGATTTTATCCAGACAAAGTTACCTTGGGAATGTGTACATTAATATATATATTTGCTCTTAAAAAAAGAAAGAAAATATAACATATTAAGAATTTTAATTATTAAAAAGTAATATAATTTAAACATAGAGAAAGCAAACGTAATGGACGGAAATATAGAAAGTGTTGGAAAAAAGAAAAGCAAGGAGTAAAGAAAATAAAAATATATAAATAAATGAGTTCTAAGCCTCCTGACTACAAATAAAAACTAATTTAGCAATTCTTTGCCCCATAAGGTTAAATAAATATCTCTTCATCCCATATGCCATCCTTCATCTATAAGCAAACTCATAAAACATCCTAGTGTAAGCAAAAAGCCCCCAAAGGGTTTCCAGAGCATTGCCAAACAAGAGACTTATTTTAATTGTGATCAAATAAATTCACTTTATATTCTTTCATTTTACTTTTTAAGTCTTGATCTTTAATTCAGTCAAATATTTATTTATTTGTATCCCACCTTCATTATTTTTTTACGAATAACTCAAGACAGCAAATATATCTATTTTCCCCATGGTAGGTCAGGATTGACGAGGTGGGACAAGAACTCACAGTGTCCTGATGATTGGTCCAAAGTCACCCAGCCAGCTTTCATGCATAAGGCAGGACTAGAACTCACAACCTTCTGGTTTCTAAGCTAGCACCTTAACTGTTATGCCACACTGATATTAACAGAAACATGCTTGATATTGGCGTTTCCTGAACAAGCTGAATGTAGCACCAATCTCAGAACTAGCTTCCCTGATTTGTGTAGTCCCACCAACTCACCAATTTGTGCTCTTCCCTTTGTGTTCAGGCTGCAGAAATCATACTTACAGAAAGATTCACTGAAGACTCAGATTTGGTTGCTGTCATGCGTTTCACGCTGCCCATATCTGTCAGTCGGTGCTCATTGTCATCCCACCTGCCGTACGCCAAGTCTATGCCACCAACAAAAGCTATGGATTGGTCAATGATCACCAGCTTTTCATGGTGGGCCCATAAATAAACAGTAGAGGACACATGATCAGGGTGCCTCATTACCTGGAAAGGAAACACTGACCTTAAAATCAGGTGGGTTATCGGTGGAAGCAGGGGTGGGATTCAAAATTTTTAACAGCCGGTTCTGTGGGTGTGGCTTAGTTGGTGGTCATGGCTTGGTGGTCATGTTATTGGCTGGGTGTGGCCAACTCAATATCACTCACATTGAGGCATGCATCTCCTCACCTGGCCTCTCATGACTGTGGGGATGTTGCAACAGTCGTAAGTGTGAAAAATGGTCATAAGTCACTTTTTTCAGTGCCATTGTAACTTGGAATGGTCACTCCACACAAGCAAAGTACCAGCAAAGGAGAGAAAAAAAACTCCAGAGAAGTTCCTGAGACAGGAAATCTAGTCCTGCCAATAATGTAATAAGGGTTAACAGAGAGGCAGTTTCTGTAAGCAACACCAGAATGTTTCCTTCCTGCCTTCCTTACAGGATTAGGCCAGTAATTTCTTCTAACAACAGGTTTTCCGAGCTGCTTAGAATGTTAACAACCGGTTCTAGCGAATAGGTGCGAACCTGTAGAATCCCACCCCTGGGTGGAAGATTTTAATGGTGTAAAACCTTAGATGATCAGAAATTCCATATAGGTAAATAAATATACAAGATTCCCTTTTTGTGTAGGTTTTTCTCCATCGTGGTCAAGCAGCATGCTGGCACAATTATGTAATCATTCCTAAATTTAGGTGGACTTTCTCTTTGGCTAGGTTTAACACCTTCTTGATACTCACCAGTGATGCAAGGTTCTATGCTCACACGGAACAGGAGCAACTCTGAGTCATTTTGAATTTTATTGTCTCTGATTTATGTCTGGAGTTGTTATCTCTGTTTCCCTGGTCATTCAGATTTCTTTTATCTGACTTGCACTGTCTGACCATGTTGATTCTGTCCCACTGAATGCAGCTAAAGACAGGTAGATCTTGACTTACAATCATTCATTTAGCAACTGTTTGAAGTTACAGAAGTACTGAAAAAAGTGACATGATTAGTCCTTGCACTAACAACAATTGCAGCATCCTCACAGTCATATGTTCAACTAGCCCTTGGCAGCCAGCCTATATTTATGATAACTGCAGGGTCTCAGGATTACGTGGTCACTGTCTGCTACTTTCCCAGCTGGCTTCCAACAAATATTCACTTAATGACAGCATGATTCACTTATCAAACAGCAATTCACTTAACGACTGAAGCAATTCACTTAATTGGCTGTGAGGCATTTAGCAAAATGTCTTGCTTAGCAATGGAAATATTGGTTCCAACTGTGGCTGAAAGTCAAACATTACTTGTACAGTCTATGGAAGATTCTCACTCATCCAGATCATGGTTGTCCCAGAAATGCTTTTTTCAAAAGGTAACTGGTTTTTTTTGGTTTTCCCTTGAAGATATTTCGCTTCTCCTCCAAGAAGCTTCATCAGTTCAAAATTGAAGAAGCTTCTTGGATGAAAAACGAAATGTTTTAAGGAAAAAAAACCCAAGAACATCCAGATGCCATTTGGAAAAGCACCTTGGAGACTATTTTGCTATCTCTAGTATTCAAGAAGTATCAATAAGAAGGTTTTAGATATCTTTTTGCTAAGAGAAGCTGATTATTTAGTTCTATTTAATTGCAATCAGCAACATTACATTTTCACAGTTCTATATAGTGCTTAGTTGGAAACAACATGTTTTGTATATTAAAACATTAAATATGTATATTTCAATAGAGTTTATCCTTGGAATTTCTTTTGATCTGGTCTATTTCTTTTGACCTGGTAATAAAACTAAACCAAAGTATGTGATTTCCTTTAGAAGAATGAATCTGACTGATCTGTTGGCAAGGCCAAAATAGCAGAATGGAAACTACTTTATGTATATCTTATGGACATATCTTCGTAAACATAATAGAACATGTTTTTGAGCACAGCACTGAAGTGCTGTTTCTTCCCAGATCAATCTTGAAGTTGTTTTGTAAACAGAGCAGCAGTTACTCTATAGAAGTCAACAGCCTCAACATGGAGCAGCTATATACCTAAAGATAAATAAACAGTGTAATTGTTACAATGGATACAAATACCTTAATATTGGGATGCAGGCGCATTAGAGTCCTTTTGGTATATTCACTGTTGATACCCAGAGCAAGTTCTACCTCTTTATAAAGAATCACAAAGATTCTCACTCCTTGTTGCTGTCAGAAGAAAAAAAAAAACCAGTCATATTTGATGCATGCAGAATCAACTACAAGGGCATCAAACTGGCGGCCCATAGCCCAACTGGGTCACGTGCAGGTCACACCCACCCCAGCTCCACGAATGGAGAAAACATTGTGAAATGGCACGTGACAGCAACATGACATGACGAGTTTGACACCTGTGAACTAAAAGCTTCATGATTGCTTTAGACAAGTGCTTATTTGTTGGGGTTATGCTACAATAGCAAGGTGGGGAAATCATTTGTGGGTCAGGGATTGGACTTGGAATAGGGGTGTCAAACTCGATTTTATGGAGGGCAGCATCAGGTTGTGTTTGACCTCAGGGAGGGTGGAGTGGGTGTGGCCAAGGTAGGCATGGCCAGTTCAACATCACTCATGACTTGAATGTTCTGACAGCAAAAACAGAACTCCCAAACTCCATTTGCAGCTGTGATGGCCTCCTGCAACCCTCTGTCAGTGAAAACTGCCAGTGAGTTTGGGAGGGCTGTGTGTGGCCCTCCCAAGCTCCATTTTCACTGGCAGAGGCACTGCGGGCTGGTCCTCGCTGTTTCCAGGGTGACCCTGTGGGCCAGATCTAAGCATCCCATAGACCAAATCCGGCCCCTGGGCCTTGAGTTTGACACCCCTGACTTAGAAGAAGTGATATTAAGAAGAAGCATGCTGCTGGTATCTGGTAATGGCCCAAAGTAGGTACAATTGCCTATGTCTATGGTTAGAGCTAAGATTATTTAGTACTGTCTAAATCTATGGCTAGAACCAAGATATTTTTTTTTTCTGGACAGGGACAGAATTCACTGTTTTAAAAACATATGGCAATCTATTTTACAGTTTGAATTATAATTTACAATTTTTTCTTTCCAGATGATGGGAAGGACACATGAGGTCAATTTTCTGTAAGCACATTGGTAAAGTTGGTGAATCAGCTAAACAAAGGGGCTTAAGAAACCTCTTGGTTTGCCCACTCTTACACAAACAAGCAAAATTGGGAAGAAAACGACTACAGTCATTAAATGCAACAAAATACACATTTCACTTATGGCTGTTTGGATTTTATGAGCTACAGCAATGACTTCTGCATTTGCTTCAACTATCCAGGAAAGACTGCTTCAGTCTTCCTGTCCTTTGAAGTAGGCCAAGCTGCTTTCTAGAGAAGGATCTTTTTCAAAGGTGCTTTTTCAAGAATTAACTAGACTTTCTGTTTTTTCTTTGAAGACATTTCGCTTCTCATCCAAGAAGCTTCTTCAGACTTGCATATTCTCCACCATCTAGTCAGAGTTGAAGAAACTTCTTGGATGAGAAGTGAAACAGCTTCAAAGAAAAACCAGAAAGTCTAGTTGCCTCTTGAAAAAGTATCTTTGGGATTTGAGCAGGATCAGTAAGCTGCAGTGTCCAGATATTATTCTCCATATATGTTTTTCTGGTTAATAACTTTTATAATTTGAAGATGTTTTGACGGAGGTATTTTAAGTGCTGTTGGTGACTAATACAAAGAAAAAAGCTGACATTAACAAATGAATAGGTTCCAGAATCTGAAAACTTCAATTTATATAACTTCAGAAGATGTTAGTTACACAGCATAGAACTTCAATAACATCTTCAAGAAGAGAATTTTTTCTTTTTCTTTCCTTTCTTCCTTTTTTATTTTATTTCTTTTTTATCATGGATATTCCAGTTTTCTAGATTCTAATAATAATAAATGCTATATGTGGCTGGCACCTTTATCTGCAGAATTCTTGCCCACCTTGAAAAAAAGACATGGGAAAAGAAAGGGACCTTTCTGGATAGTTTGAAAAGGCAAAGACAAATCTGATAGTAGTCAGGGATCTTCACTGAGAACTAAAGGAGATATCTGGGAGAATCCTTACAAGTTTGTCTTCAGATAAATGCATGTTTTGTGAACAGATCACAATCCTTCCTGTAGCAGGCATTTTGTCAGTGTGCCCAGGATGATGTGTCAAATTTTCCAGATGAGCTCACTAAATATTCCAAAACACAGCTCTGCTCCTGCTCATTCTATGTTCCTTATCCTAACATTAACCTAATCTAAAATAACCTTGAAACATAACAACCTGCGCATAGTTAAAAAAAGCAGCTAAATTCAAAATTAAAACTAAAAACATACCACCCAGCTTAAAATCTGATATCTGGAAGCAGAGCTTCAATTGTGACATGATCTTTTCCCCTGTGCCACAATAAAATTATTGTTATGCTTGCCAGAAGTGTATCAATGATCTGATCGACATCCCAAGCTGATATTCTAGGATGGGAATCATCCTTGCCACAAAGGAAAAAATTCTTTCTGACCTACAAGAACTCAAAACATACCTTGTCCACATTGGCAAAAGTATTTTAGGAAGACAACAGAAAGCTTCCATTAAAGTAATCAGTCACCTCAAGCTCAATAACAAGGCACATTTTAAGCACTCTCCTAATTAGACCTATATTCTTGGAGAAGATCAATGCCTACCATTAGCAATTTAATGAATATCCATTTTGAATGCAGACAATAGAGTATCACATCACACAGTGAGATCATTTCTCTGGGAAGTCAATTTTATACTGTTTCTGCTCATGCCACTAATGTCCCTTGGAACAGGCCAAAACAGGATGCAGTTAGCATTTAGACCTAAACTCCCTTCAGTTTGCATCGAGAGTTTCTTGAGTGCAGATGCCTTTAAAATGAACATGGGAAAATGCTTGAAAATTGAACAGTATTGCTGGAATCACCTGCAATCAAGGAGAGATCAAGGAGAGGAATTTCCTATCCCTGAAAATATTCAGAGGTGAAGGAAGCAATGAACATGAGATAAGAGATAAGAAGCAAACTCCTCTCTACTTCTGAACACAGTTCAGGAAATGTAATGAAGCTTAAGCAATCATCACTGGGGCTGTAGTTTAAATGCATCTAAAGATAAATGCATTACTTTTGCAGGAGCTTGGCATAGCTCAGGAAGGAAGGAAGGAGGGGAGGGGAGGGAGGGAGGGAGAGAGGGAGGAAGGAGAAGGGGAAGAGGAAAGGATTATTATTCAGGAAAATGCTGGGTTCATATAACAAAATGGTTAGTTATGCTTCAATGTGTCATCAAAATCTAAACAACTGAGTTAGATAAATAATGGTTATATTAACCACAGTTTAGGATGAAACACAAAGATAAGCTAAAACATACAATATTCCCCTTTGTGTATACACAGAAAGAGCTAACCCGGAAGGGCTTCGTGAACAGACAGAAATCTGCGATCGTTCACGGTTTCTGTCTGGGCTCGCTGCTGGAGAGCCCTGAGCTGGCTGGTTTCGGGACTAAACCACCCCGCAGAGGTGGTGAAGAGGGGGAAGACCGCCAGCAGGGTTGAGGAGAGCCGTACCTCTCCTCCTCAGCTGGCCATTACTCCCTTTCCTGAAGGCGGTTGCAGCGGTGGTCAGAAATGGCCACCACAAAGAAGAACTCAACCTGAAAAGAATGTGCAGGAGGAAGATTAGAAGTGAAAGTTTTGGCTGACTGGGTTAAATTGTAAAAGCAACAACCAAGGTACCCTGGAATTTAAACTTACAAAAAATAACATCGCTCCCAAAGAAGAGTCGGAAGCAGTGAAGGAAAGTGAAAAGGGAAAGGTTTGGCTTTTTTTTTTCTTCTCTCTCCTTCCCTATACTGACAACTAAGAGACTTAAATAAGAAATTGGAAAAATCCGCTTTGACATCAATAGGCAATTAAGCTGAAAATAAAACAAAATGCCAAAGGGATAATAAAGATTTCTGGACATTAAAAACTTTCTTTTTCATAAGCAGGAAGGGAGAGAAAAAGAATAAGGGCAGGATCTGGAAGACAGAGGAGACTGCCTGGAATTAAAAAGAATTTAAAGTAAAACTTCAACAAGACTTCTAAAAGATACATTTTAACTGAAACTTTGCAACTAAATAGTAACCCCAGGAAGAGAAAGTGAAAAAAAAAGAGCAAAAAAGAAACAGCTTGCGTGTATTTGGATTATTTGGTGATCTTTGGATTTTTGGTTATTATATTTGAATGACTAAAATCAATCGGGTGGTTGTTTAAAAATTTATACAATGGCACCACTTCTGGATGAATTGAAAATGAAACTTAAAAAGTACAAAGAAGATGCACAAGAAGGGAAGGGTTCTTTTGGCTTTGTTTTTCAATTCTTAGAAATGGAGATTTGGAACCATGAGAAACAATAAGAAAAGACTGCAAAACAAGAAGACTGGGACAAAGAAGAAGCCATCTTTAATGAACAAGTAATTCTATGTGGGGAAGAAAAAGGAAAGGGGGAAAAGAGAATGGAGAATTTAAGACTTAAAAAAACAACCAAAGAAAAGAAAAATAATTTGAAAAATAAGTATAATACTGGAAAGCAACAGAAAAGGGGAATACAGAAGAGAGAAATAGAGGTAGAGAGACAAGGGGGTAAAAGGGGGAGAGAGAAGAAGAGAGGGAAGAAGGAAAGGAAAAGAAGTTACAAAGGACCGGAGCAAGATATAGAGAAACAGGACCTATTTAGAGATAATGGGTGAAAATCTAACTGAAAAAGGGATTCTGTAAAGGTACATAAGATTGTATTGTTATATTAGTAATAGAAATAACTTTAGAAAATTGGAAACAACGTATGATTAAAATGAGGGATAAAATAGTGTAATTTAGTGAAAAGTTTGTGAATAAAATAAGTGAAATAAAATAAATGAGAAAATTGAATTAGGAAGGAACAGGAACATTTTAATTAGCTAATGTTTTATAAAATATAAGTGAAGAAGGGGAGGAATTAACTATGGAAAGCTTATAATTGTTCCCATAGAAGTATGATATTTAATTGAAAAGTAATGTTAAAGATGTTAAGACTTTAATGAATATTGATATTAATGATAGAATTGAATTGGAATGGAACATTGTTTAATTATATACATTTATATTTTTTTCTTTTTTTTATGAATACAGTGTGTATTTTAAGAATGTACCAAGCAGAATCCGAATGAAAGTTATGTATTATATTGAATGTTACAACTTTAGGGAAAAGATATAAAGGCGTCATACTCCAATCAGTAACTACAGGAGAAATTTTGTTTAATGAGAAAAGATAATAGATAATTGAAACAGAACAGACAAAAAAATATAAATACAATGATTTGAATTGAGATGAGATAATTAAAATAAAATTTGGAAAATTAAAAGAGGGGAGAAGCTATGCAGAAAATGTAAAATAGTAATAAGATATGGAATAGAATATAAAAACCTGAATTTGTGTCTGTACGAAGAAATGTAACCCGGGATTATGCTGCTTTCAAAAAAGATGTTTTATTTGTATTTTTTTTCTCTTTGTGAAAACTCAAATAAAATTTACAAAAAAAAAAAAAGAAAAGAAAGAGCTAACCCACATTTTCTCCACTAATACAAAAATGCATAAGCAGACAACATATTCCTACGAAAACATGGGCAAAACTTCTATATGGCAGTGTTGGTGAACCTTTTCGGCACCAAGTGCATGTACATGGGAGCACTGGAAACCAGAAGAGTAGCTCCCCGGTGCACATGTGCATGCTGGGAAACTGAGTTTCTGGTTTCTGGCGCACATGCACAAAGACCAGTTGGCTGATGTGTATACACATGCGAGAAACCAGAAGCTCAGCTTCCCAGTGCATGCATGCGCACCGGGAAGCTGCTCTTCTGGTTTCCGGTGCTTGGCTTCCCAGTGCATGCATGCGCATTCCAGAACCCAGAAGAGCAACAGGCAACAGCTGGCATGCCTGGAGAGATGGTTCTGCATGCGTACCATAGGTTCGCCATCACAACTCTGTGGCATCTCATATATCATCTGGATTCTGGCAGAAAAGAACAGAAGGAAACAAATCTGGAATTTACCATGTAAGCCATAATTATTGTAACTGATTACCAGACTGATTCTGGCTTTTCTAACAAGTTTAGCATACTAGTGTGAGTCATCATCCAAACAACCTAGAATACTGCATTAACACTGGCCGTAATATTAGTTTACGGTTCAACATGTTGGGCAGCTCAAAAACCGGATTAACCATCATTCAGCTATCCGCAGTACCATTCATCCAAGACACAATATTTGTTTATTGTGCAAAGGCTATCCACCTACATCTTCACTTCACTTAGCTAAGAATGTTGAGCGAACACAGGTAGTCCACTATGAATGCAGCCATACCTTGAGTCCCTGCCTGAAAAATGAGAGATATCTCTATTCTATTATCTTTCGTGGGTTTGTAAGGCTTGAAAAATACTGCACACTTACAGCCTTCCGCCTCAAAATGCAGTCCAATCTCCAGCGATTCCCTTCCACCACAGGCCGCTTCATAAATATTTCAGGGCTCAGCCTGTAAAAAAGGTAGAAAAGCAAGTAAGTTTTCTTGAAAAATACATTAGTGAGCTTTTCTCAGTAGAACTGTTGTCCACTTTCTGAAATGAACATACGCAGATGCCCCAATCCAGGTGGTTAAACGAGAGAGTTCACCAGCAAAGAGGACCTGATCTTTTTCTATTACAAGGTAAAACAGCAATGCCTCCTTAAGATGAAAGTCTTTTTCAAGTGATACTGTGCTTCCTAATAGGAAATATAACCATTCTGGGTGGGAAAATCTTTATGTTGCCTAGTTTTAGAAGCTCTTTGCCTTATATATTTTATTTCTCATTTTAATTTCCCCCCCAAAAAATATTTGGAAGGAAAAATACAACAAATTTGGAGATGGAAACTGTTTTATTTTCATTTTTTCTTTTTTTCTCAAAGCTGGGGAGGGGGGAACCATCCTACCTCATGGTGGCCTACAAAGTCACAATATAAGCAGCACATGAAATGGCACTGGGCCTATATGTTGAGGAAAAGTTAAACCGTTTCTCCAGGCGGCTTGGTGTCAGCAAGCTAGGGGAATGACGTATTTCTTAAATGCTAAAAGAGGGTATCTAAGTTTTGTGTAAATGCAATGAGCAGTCACAGTGCATTTTTATTACAATTTTTCAAATTATAATTACAATTAAGAAAATATGAAGGCCCACTCTGCATGGCCACTCTGTAATTGTGATAGTCAACTGATGTGCCACACAGAATCAATCTAACAGGTTGAAGAAAATAAGGGGCACCACTTCCACACTGTAGATAGTTTTCCACAGGTGTCATTACTGTTGGTAGTCTCAAAATATTAAATACATTACATGAATGCATCTTCCACTGGACAAATACATCAAACCAGCACCCAGCTCATGATTTGTGGATTTCTCCTCGACATAAATGCTGTTTTCATTTAAAGGTGGCAAAATAATCTGAGCTATTGGTATGACGGGATAGCAGAAAAGCTGCCATGGTGCCATTCCTTTATTCAATGCTACTACTATACTACTACTGCTGCTGCTACTACTATTCCTACTACTACTAGTAGTACACTACTACTACTACTACTGATGATGATGATGATGATGATGATGATGAACAATAAGTCTGAATTATCTATAGCTAGGAAAAAAGTACACAGTCGTAGTGGGTAATCTAACTAAAGTCAATTTTTCATGGCAAAAGATCATTGAAAAAGACAACTTTTATGCTAGGCATCATTAGGAAAGGGACCAAAAACAAAACTGTCAACACTACAATGCCCTTAAACATTATAAATCTATTGAATTTTGTACATACTCCCAGATCACCATATTTGAAAAAGTATGGAGAGAAGGCAATCAGAATGATCTGGAGTCATCAGTATGTTTCCTATGAGAAAAGATTAGAATATCTGGCCTTGTTAGCTTAAAAAAATAACCAATGGAGGTGATTGAGGTGTAAGAATCATACGTGGCATGGAGAAAATGGAAGAGGGGAAGTTTTCTCCTTTTCCAAAAGCTCTAGGAACAGAAACCATCCAAAAATGTGATTGATGAAAATTTTAGAATAGGCAAAAACACATTAACGAGTGAATTTCATGACTATGAGGCATGATGCTGACAGGTCTATGACAACTTGCCACGGCCAACTTGCTGTAAGACAGGAGTTTCACTAATATCAAATAAATAATGGAACAGAAGCATTAAAGAAACATTGCCAAAGGAGGGACATGCCATGTGAATGACAAAAATTAAAATTATTTTAAATTGTTTAAATAATTAAACTGAACTGTTGAATTCTTCTGCAGCGAGCTGGCCCATGGCGAGTTAGCCATGGCAAATTGTCCCCCGGTGAATTGGCCATGGCAAGTTGGCTGTGGTGAATTGTCCCTTTCTGGGTGGTGACCATTAATTTGGAAGCTTTGAGCAGGGATTCAGTAACTCCAAGTCAGTTATGAAGAATCTATGTTCTATCCAGACTGGAGAAAACAGCTCTAAATACCAGAGTAAGAATGGTGACGAAGACTTATGTTACCATGAAGCATTAACCCCAAAGAATCTGGGCCTCGGCCGAATCCCAATTCTTGCTTTAATCATTCTAAGATCCTTTCTTCCTTTCTAGAGCCAATACCGGGAATGAGATATTAGGGAGGAAAACATCTGAATTACATTATATACATTTTTTGAACTAGTGCCACGAGTTTTCCCCCTTCCCTCTTGTTTCAATGTGTCACAGCTCTGTGGGGGGGGGTCATCTTTTTATACTCAACATTTCCCACCTCCCAACAAATAGGCCACAACCTTACTTGATGCTCACAACATTCATACAGATGGGGAAAATAAGCCATCGAAAGTTTTTCAAAGTTATGATCCTATGTTTTAAAATTCACTAATACTATATCCAGTTCTCTTTGGCAAATTTGTTACCTGCCAATACAACAAGAAGTTTTGCTGTTTTCATTTATTCAGTAATATAGTTCAGCTTGTCGTTTCTTTGTCTGAAGGTGGAAGCTGAACAGGGTTAGGTTCTGGGATGGGAAACTACTAAAAAAAATTCCAGGGTTTAAAGACTAAGCTTGAAAGCCACAAATATTTCCCAGAAGATAGCAATGGCCAATCACATCTGTACTGTTGTTGATTGAGACAGATCCATGAAGTCACCAGGAGCTCAGCACAGCATTGCCTTCACTTTTTATTGCAAGATTAGATTGCACATTGTGAAGAAAACCAACAAGTATGACTTTAAAAGTTCATGTTTACATGAGGGTCCAAACAGTCGACTGAGAATCCAGTCTGTAAGCACTGTGGTTGTTTGTTGTTGAACAAGGTAAGGCCAGGCCAGATGTCTCTATTCCCTACTGCTTCACACCTCTTTTCCTAATCCTGTAAAAACAACCGTTTCTTCTCTTCCCTTCTTCCCCTCCAATTTTTGTACCTCAGGTCTCTTAATTTACAGGTAGTCCTTGACTAACAGCCACAACTGAGCCCAACCTTTCTGTTGTTAAGTGAGACATTTATTAAGTACGTTTTGCCCCATTTTATGATCTTTCTTGTCTCAGTTCTTAAGTGAATGACTGCAGTTGATAATTTATTAATCCTGTTGTCAATGGCTTCCCCATTGATTTTGCTTGTAAGAAGGATGCAAAAGGTGATCCCATGACCCTGTGGACACAGCAACAGTCATAAGTATGAACCAGTTGCCTAGCATCTGTTTTTTTTTTAATCACACGATCATGGGGATGTCACAAAGGTTGTAACTGAAAAAATGGTCCTGAGTCACTTTTTTCAATGCTGTTATGACTTTGAATGGTCACTAAATGAACTGTTGTAAGGCGAGGACTACCTGTACATGCTAAATGTTCAAGAAAGGCCGATAAGAGACTTTTTATTTTGATTTTTTCCCCTTGCAAAAGAGACAGGTTAAAAAGGAATCAGTACATTAAAATCTAATTTCTGTTAGATTAGAAGTTTTCGTAGGTTCGTTTTTGTTTCCTTAGCCAAGTGTCCTGAAAAGACCTTTGCAGCAAAGCCTCTCTTATTCTCTGCCTCTTCCTCTAAGTAAGATGTTGCCAAACCATCTGGTCCCGCTGTTAAGTTTCCATGTGAAAGGACCCTAACAGTGCCACATTATAATTAAATATTCTAGAAAATACCTTGAGAGGCTAGAAGGAGGCTGAGCAGGAAGGGTGGAATTTGATCGTGTCAGTTAAATACTAACCACCAATCTGTGATGAAAATCTCTTCCTTGGCAGCTTCCATGGCATTTGCTACATCTTCGAAGTACCCCTTGGCATTGACATACCTAGAAGGAACGACAACATTACACAAATAGGCAAGACTGGAATTCCAGAAGCAAAAGGTAACAATATATGGAGGACTTTTTGTTTTTCTATTTTAATATTGGAAGAAGCACAGAAAAGGAGGAAATGCAAAAAGAAAAAGAAAAGAAAACAAAGAAATGAAAATGATTAGGGGACTAGAACATCTTTCTAATCTGCAAAGATTAAAGCAATAAGTGTAGGACTTTTTGCAAAAAAGATTGTAGCAATAACTTTTTTACCTTACCGCTATAAAGGTGTGTTGAAAAACAAACATAATGGATATATGTGAAACCATGCATGGTGTACAAAATATGGGGGGAAAAATTCCCCCCTCTCTCTCATTTCACTGTCTTTAACCTTGGGTTCAACCACCGAACTAAATCCTAAAGAAATTCAAAGGGAAAGAAAGAAGTGCTTTATCCACAGATAGTAATACCTGGTGGAAATTGCTGTCATTAAACATGACAATGACCAGCAGTTTTGGTGTTTTAAAAAAAGATTTGTACAATTCAGGGGAAATAGGGCTGGGCGGCTACATACGATCACTGAATCTCAGCAGAACACTTAAACAGCAATTGCTGAAGAGCAACAATATAAGAGGGATAAAATTTAAGCATTATTTGCTGGAGACCAACAGTAGAAGAAGGCCAATGACCTTGAACACACTTTTGAGTTTTGTGATTCCCCCTATGCTGTTATGCTAAACAGGAACCAGATGCAGTTACTATATATTTTTTAAAATAAAAAAATTATTTGGGTTTTCACAAAACACAATACAAGTAAAATTTCTTTTTTTGAGAATAGCATGGTCCCGGGTTATCACTTCTCCATACAGACACAAATTCAATTTCATATTCATCTTTGTGTTCTATTCCACATCTTATTACTATTTTAACATTTTCTCAATAATTTTTCCCTTCCCTTAGTTTTCTCAATCTTACTTTTAATTATCTCATTCCTTTCTAAATTCAATTATACGTATATATCTTTTTCTAAGTTTCAATATCTTTCTAGTCATTATATTTATACTTTTGTCTGTCCTGTTTCAATTTCATATTTTCTGTTCTCATTAAATAAAATTCAGTTACTATATTTTTAACAGGGGTTAAAAACAGGGTGTGATAAACAAGCCAATGGTTAATCAAATATCATCATCTCCTTTTAACGACCCCATAATCCCTTGCGGGGTGGAGTCAGGGCAACTGAATGGAGTTGAGTGTTTACTGGCTGGAGGCCCTTCCTGTCACCAATGTGGAGTTTTGTTCAGCCCAGAAAGAAAAATATCTGCCTCTACCTAGGATTGAACTCACAGCCTCCTGATTGTGAGGCGAAAGCTCCACCACTAGGCCACCACTCAGGTTAATGGTTAACCAATGTTCTACTATAAATCAGAACACAATTCTCATAGCTATTTTTTATTTATTTTATTTATTAAATTCAGATTCCATCACTCTTGTTATGTAAGTTGCTCCGGGTGGCTTACAAATGAAAGCTATAAAACCATAAAAAACCAGTTAAAAGCAGGGTCAAAGACAGGCTTAAAAACAAAATTAAGAATGAGTTAAAAACCAAGTTAAACACAGGAGGGAGAAGCCTTTAAGTCACCAGGCTCCCCCATGATTTCATGCTGCTCTTTAATCCTCTGACACCAGTTGGCAGAGACAGGTTTTCAAAGTCTTCAAGAAGGTCAGAGTTCAGGGGTCAACTTCACCTCATGGGGCCAAGAGGTTACATACAGTGGGGTTTGGTTTGAAAAATCCAAAGTACTTTGTAACTCTGACTTTATTATCATATGGAAATTTAAGTCCTTCAGGTATGGTTCATCCACATTCATGAGCTTAAATATGAGTTACTTCTGCCCCTGCTTCTCTCCCTCCCTAAAACCCTGGCAATGTTCCTTGCATTATGGGAAAAATCACCAACATAACCATCTGCATGCATATGTCTGTCTGTCTGTCATCTATCTATCTATCTATCTATCTATCTATCTATCTATCTATCTATCTATCTAT